ATATATACACACCTATAATATACATATATAGATTAAGACAAAGGGACATTGGAGAGCGACGAGCAAAATGTCGCGTGCTGTCTTTTATGCCACTTGAAAAAGGTAGTATCTGGAAAAACAATAATTTGGTGTCCTACCCTCATTTTACTGTTCCTGGTATCTGTTTTATTCGCTAAACATTATATTCATTTCAGTTCACCGAGTTGTAATAATGACCCCCTCCAACCCCCTCCCCCTCCTCACTTCGTTTCTTCTTTTCCGTTTCCGCCTCTAACGGTATTATGAGACCATTGTTGTGGAACGGATGAAAAACAAAAAGTAATGAATTCCGTCCTGGCCGACAAACCGCATGGTAGAGCTTTGGGCGTCCCTGCCAGACTCGCGGTGACAATAGATGCTCACGTTTGCTCGCACGGGACCGCTGCCAGCGTCACAAACCAACGGGGAAAGGGTACAAAGAGAGGCAGGTCCCACGGGGTCTAAGAGTGTAAATGCACGTGAAATCACGCTGTGGACCCAAGGGATCCATAATAATATCATTTTGTACGCCGACCGGTTATATTTTGACAGAGTGTGTGACACGTGAAAAGATACCGCTGTTGATTTTGCACACAGCTCTGTGAGTGGCAATATTTGAGTGAGTGCTGCCGTTGCCAACTTATTCCCTATCATGATTTAATCAGAGAGACACCACGATTGATTTTCTGGCGTTGATTAAATGTAAAGATTGTAGTGAAGGCTGATTTAATCTCCCAGCCATAATCCGTTTACAGCCTGGCAATGTAGAAGACATTACTGTTTTTGTCAGTCTGACGTAGACATAATAATATGATGTGCCTAATAAGCAAGGAGTGCTTACCATAACAAAGCAGTTTTAGCGGGTGCTTAAAATGCACCACCTGTAGGTCCTTTGTCTTCCAGACCCCTCTGTTATTTCTGCCTATTTTGCTTTTTACATCAACGTTTTTCCATTTTCTTCAAACCGAAACAAACAAAAAAAGAGGAAAAAAATAAAAACAAAAAAAACAACCCATATTGTTCTTTTCGTGTGAATACCAGCAAGCTTAATAAATTAATAACAATATCCGCTTTTGTTATTAGTATAGTTTATTTATTTATAAACAATGACAATCGGACACAATGAATGCTCACTGCATGGTTTGATTAATAAAAGTATGCGAATTATTAGTTTGAAGTAGCAATTATATTTTAAAATAAGACTAGGTTCTCAGTTGAGGTTGTATTGTGTCCAATCTCCTTGTTTTATCCCTTAAGTTGTCAGCGCATGTTTTAAAATCCTTTAATACTCAAATTATCTGAACTTTCTTTCTCTCCCCCCCCCCCCCCCACACACACACTCCACCTCCCTATTCTAGGCTGCCCGCTATGAGCAGGCCTGTCAGCTGTACTGGAGACCCCCATGATGGATGAGATCAGGACGGAAGTGGTTAGTGACAAGTACACGGATGACGACAGCAGCGATGTGGCCTCGGACATGCAGGGCGCCATCTTGTGGCCCAGGAGGTAAGAGGGTTAATTGTTAGAGAAATCAGACACTTGATTATGGCTCTCCGAAACTAGTAATACGAACTTATTGTAATCTGTGGTTTGCCCTGTATGCTTTCCGGGAAGACCAGAATGTTTCAGAATCATGTTCTAAGGTCAGCTGGGGTAGTAATCGTTATATGCATTTATATCATTATAGTTATTAATATTATTATTATTATTATTATTATTATTGCTGTAGTTATTGTTATTGTTGTTATTGTTATTTCATTGTTATTCTTATTGTTGCTGTTGTTGTTGTTGTCGTTGTTGTTGCTGTTGTTGTTGTTGCTGTTGTTGTTGTTGCTGTTGTTGTTTTATTGGCTATACAAGGAGGGAATAACAGAAACAAAGCACTGTTTCCCCTGATGTGTTTGTAGCCGCTACCCCAGACCCGTACGGGAAGTGGTTAAGGATACAGACAGTTTTCGGGTACAGCCGAACTTGCTATAACGACTTCTTGTCCAAGATAACTTCTTTTGTCCTCTACAATGAGTGGTCGTATTTGACAGGTTCGCCACTATTATTTTCTTTAGGTCAACTTTCAATTCACTGGGGTACCTTACTTGCTTTTTTGGTGTATTGCTTGTTGCAATTTTCTGAGAGTCGAATGCTATTAGGCCGGCACTTATATTATGACCTTATTGTGTTGCAAGTGCCGTAAAACACTTACTAAAACTTTTTAAAAATCTAAAAACTAAATTCTATCGGGCGTCAAAGCGTGTTTTATGACTACGAGTTTGGCTCAAAGAAGTGCACCCATGTTTCATCACAAATGACGATCTTGGCCAGGCGCAGGGGTTGCAATTCCCATAAGTATTTAGAAGTTTGGTGGCATACTCTAACCGTACTCTTTTATTTTCATTGGTCAAAATATGGGGTGTCTATCGAGCCAAGAACTTTATCAGCCCAAAATCTTCATGTAGCACTCTGTGCTTTGACAACAAATGAAGACCCACTCTCTCCAGGTGATCTCATGAAGCCTTACCAAAGAGTCTACATAACAAGAGGGGCCACTCCTCTCTTTGAGCCAATTAAAAAAGTGTCCTCAAAATTCGGTGGCGCCCTTTTCGCAAATGCGCACCCTTTGCGAATAGAGTTACTCTACTTGCGTTTAAAAAATCAAAGTGAAACTAGCAAGTTTTTGGATAAATTTCGGAAGAACGCTTTTTTTAATGGTTACGCTAACAAAAAACCTCTTCCGGAGGAAGGGGTGATTGTTTTCTTCGTTTAATTTGAATGAAAGGCGAGAGGTCATTAAAATAAAATAAAAACACCTAAAACTCCTCACTGAACGAACCCAAACTGCTGAAAAACAGCAGTCGATCTGCGCACGCAAGGAGGTGCTATTCCTATTCTTCTTCTGGAAAAACGAAAGAGAGCTTCAAAACAGACTGCAGCGCCATCTGAAGCAAAGAGCGGACTTCCGGCGGACACTTTTTTGGCTGAGTGGCCCATCTTGTTATATACTATCTTTGGCCTTACTCGACTGTCTTCGTTAACTATAGCTCAGATGGCCCCAACAGTTTGGGGGGGTTGCTTTTGGGGAAAGCGGAGTGCTTTTACCCCTTTTTTCGGAAATTCCCCATTCGATGCTTCTATAATACAGAAATCAACGAGAGACCGTTACTCCAGAGATAAAAGTCCTCAATGCATCTGACTGCAACGTTTCATAGAAGTCGACAGATTCTTTACTGGTCGCTGTACAAACGTTTACATGTAATATGTTGGACCGCATGCCACCTGGCGCAAGGCTGACTTTTTCCATGTTCATTTTGGCAAGTCCCGTTCACTTACTGACTTAACAAAACTGTACGTATCTTTCCAGAGGACCAAATTAGATGCACCATGGCACCCAGCATCAGTAAACAACAAGAATTTATAAAATATCGTGTCCGTTAAAATAGCACAATTTAGTGTCCGTCAAGTCGCGCAGTCTCATTTTGTTTTAAAACCTCCTCGTACAAAATCTCCAACATTCACCTACATCCCCTTGTTGGCATTCGATGTTACCAATACATGTAGGTGCTCTTTATCATACATTCCACCTGAAAATAAAAACCAAAACTAAACTTAACTAAACTAACAAGTTCCAAATCCGTTATAATGATTTTAAATTTCGCCATCACAAGAATACGCCTACCTCCTCCTTCTCCTCTAACCGAACGTAGGTTAACGCTTTGGTACATTCCGCTTTTACTCCTTCATTGGGCCGGGGAAGATTTGACATACATTCTTCCACCTTTCCACTTTTATTCCGCATGACAAAATGTCAAATATCTCAATCCCTTCTACCCGGGTTCCGGGCCTATTTTGTCAGTCTGCCCCGCCTCCCTCAAGAACACCCTTTTCTTTTTTCAAGTCAGTGACCGGAGCCAGACAGCATCTAGACCCTGTTAGACAAGGCAATCGATGGCGGGGGCTGGCAGCTTGGTGTGGGTCGCTGGGGTGCATCATTCTAGGAGAATCATGTGATTAAGATTGACGGCAGTGAAAAGTAGCACCTCGCTACCAAACTGTCCGAATTGATTTAGTGTCGGTCTCTAGCAGCTTAGCGGTCTGGTTGTCCCCGAATCCTGCCTTAATAAAGAGATCATCTCGGTTCTTAATAATTTTATGTCTTCGTTTTCAATAGAGCCTTTTGGTTATTGTCTGAGATTAATTTTTTGGCTTTGTGCAAGATCTTGTACAAACGGTTGAAACTGTCTGTCGAATATGCATGTGAGCGTGCGTGCATGTGTGTGTGTGTGTGTGTGTGTGTGTGTGTGTGTGTGTGTGTGCGTGTGTGTGTGTGTGTGTGTGTGTGTGTGTGTGTGTGTGTGTAAGTGTGTGTGTGGTAAATGTAAGTCAGTGCGTGTGCAGGTGTAAGTGTGCATGGTGCTAGAAGTTTACTGCAACACAAAACAGAGATAGATAGATAGATAGATAGATAGATAGATAGATAGATAGATAGATAGATAGATAGATAGATAGATAGATAGTTAGATAGTTAGAGATAGAGAGAGAGTGTGTGTTTGTGTGTTGTGTGTGTGTGTGTGTGTGAGAGAGAGAGAGAGAGAGAGAGAGAGAGAGAGAGAGAGAGAGAACGAGAGAGAGAGAGAGAGAGAGAGAGAGAGAGAGACACACAGAGAGAGAGAGAGAGATGAAGGGGAGTGTGAGGATTCAATCAGGGTGAGCAAATCATTTTTTCCCGGGAGTATCTTATAACTCAGTACGCTTTGGAAACACAATAGATCTAGTTAGTTTGGCGTAGTAACATGATGTTTTTTTTAGTGGAGCAGACTTCACCTAGACTTCATCTGTCTTCGTCGATGAACTCAAATTAATTTTCGGTGGAAGATGCACGAAAATGTACATACGGAGAAGTTAAAACGCCCTTACCGGGTTACGACGACTGAAAAATTGGTCTAAACTTAGAATGAATTGAGTGCATAAGTTTGTTGGAGTGGTTCGTTTCGATTTGGACCCGAAAACGTTAATCGACAGAGAGAACCCATTGACAACGTGCAGGTGCCTTCGAATAATATAAATACTAAATAACAATCATTTGCCATTGGGGCAGGTCACTCGCCGTCTACTAATTGAACGGCTGACACACCCTTTTGTGGGTAGAGGAAAGAACTTCCGAGGTCCCGGCGTACGAGCGTCACAGCGTTGAAAGGAGCAGGTCTGTTTACAGTTTACAGAGCTCTGACAGAAAGCCGCTTGTGCTTGGGTTATACGTGATGAAGCTGTCATCTCTCAGATGGCACTTCCCGACTTAGGGGCGGTTCTTTAAGAAGTGATGAATAAAATTTTTGATCCACGAGGGCTCCTCATCTTCTCTCCGTTGCTTTCTCGAAGACGACAGTCAGATGGTGAGAGGGGGAATTTTTCAAATAGTACGTACCCTCTGAAAGAAAATACTCCTAAGATACCCAGTCGTTGAAGTGTTCACAATTCACAGTGTTTTGCCATGACGCTTGAAACACACACACACACACACACACACACACACACACACACACACACACACACACATACACACACACACACGAAGACGAACACACACAAATACACACACGCAAGCATACGTACAGAAGCACAGATACACATACACACACAAACACAGACAAACACGTACATGGGGGCTCTCGCGGTCTGGAGGTTAAGGTGTTCACCTCTCATTCAAAGGTCCCGGGTTCGAATCAGGGTAGCGACGGAAACATTTTCTTCCTTTAAAATTGTCTCCTTTCACCTCCTATCATGCTCTCTAGCAATAGTCTGTCTCTGACGTCTGCTTTCGTCTCCGCTTTCTGCCCCCACTCCCTCATCTCCTTTGCCCCCCCCCCCTCTGGGCTCCTGATTTTTTTTCTGCAGCCTTTCGACTGCTACTCCTTGGCCCCTTCTTATTGCTGTCTTTAAGCCACACCCCTGGTCTTCTGGTAGGAAACATCTACACCTAGCCTTCTCGGACAAGGGCGAAAAATCTTGGAGGTCCCGTGTGCAAGTTGCGCACATTAATGATCCCTTGGTGGTCTAGAATCTATAAGAGTAGGCTTCGGCTGCCGCCCGGGCTAAATTCAAAATTTCCTACCAACTAAAAATGTTTGGTGTGTCCCGCCCGCTTATGTGACCTTATGCAGTTGCGAGCGCCGTAAAACACCAAACAAGAAACCAAACCGAAAAAGACAACTTACATACACATGTAGATCTATACACATGCACACATTCACACACAAACACACACACATACACATACACACACACACACACACATACACACATAAACATACACAAACAGACTCACACACATACATATTTATTTTCAATCTCATTCATCTGTGAAAAGTTGAGCATAAACCGAGTCCTTCATGAATTCCCATAATATGCATATTGTAAAGCAGTGAAATCAACTTTAAGGTTAAAATGGAAAATGAGATAATGGGGAATATAAATGAAACAAGACTAGAAGAATAAAGAAATACGCCAGCGAAAAAGGAAAACAATGAAGCTTTGAAAACAAAATTCACTCATGTGCACAGAGCACACCAACACACACACACACACACACACACACACACACACACACACACACACACACAATA